ACCTTGAGCCTCACGGTGTGTCTGCAGCGTGGCCATGCAAGAGAGGTGGCTCTTAAGGACACCTCACTTCCTCAGCTGGAGGACATTTAACTCGAGAGATGTTTTCTTCTCTGCTCTTAAATAAATTTCTGCAGTTTCTAATAACACATGAGAACAGGAGCCCAGGTTGCAGCAGGGACCCAGGCTGTCTTCAATGAAGCGCCCACCCTTTCCTAGTGCAGGCTGCCCCTAGCATGGGGCTTTGCAAGGGAGCAGAAAGCTGCAGAACTGTTTCTGAAAACTCTTTTTCTTCCCCTGGTTAGCTGCTCTAACAGGAGATGTTACTTCTTTCTACAAGTCTTGCTTTGATAGGCGTGTCGGGCTCCTACTGAACTGCTGCCACAACAGCTAGAAAGCTGTTGCATGCAAAATCACCTTGTCCAAGGTGATGCTTTTAGCTAAATTGGGTGACTGACTCTTGAGTGAGCCTTTCTCTTGGCAGGATGTGGGTTTTTGTTAGTTTGGTTTTCATCGCACACCAGGTAAGAGCCCTCTTTAGGACTCTGCAGTGAGGGAGCAGGGTGCCATGTTGCCCTTGGCCGGGGGCTGTGGCCTCCCCTGCAAAAGGAGCCCTTTGCCTTCTGCAGTGCCCTGGCCAGGGCAGTGCCCAGGCAGGAGCCGGCTGTGGGCACCAGCCTGCGGCTGCTGAGGGCCCCCTGTGCCAAGACTGCGGCATCTTCCTCCACTTCCTTGGCACCCAGAAGGCAGATGGGGGCTCTTCTAATTAAGCAGGCAAGAATAATGGAGCAGCTTTGATTACAGCAGTAAAAAACAGCATGGTGAAGAAGATGCCTGCATGTAGTGCTGTATTTTGCTCAGAGGAATAATTCAATTCTTAAGTGCTAGAATAAAATTCCTGGTCCCACCTTTACCAATTTCTCAGACAACCATTCTTCAAGATCTTGAATTTCATCTCCGTCTCGGCCAAATTGGCACCGTTTTGGGAACCACAAGTTCACCAAAATATAATCTAGTTGTCATTGCATTAAATAGGAGAACAAAAAACATCTCCTCAAAGGGAAGGAAGCATTTTCTTTCCTCTTTTCAGTTTATTTTCTGAAGCTGATTGAAAAAAAAAAAAAACGCAGCTATGAATCTCCTGTGGAGAAAAGTGCAAAACACAAATGCAGTATTGATTTTTTTGGCACGTATAGAGTGGCCCGAAAACTAATAAATCAGTGGAGACACTGACACTTAGAATATCTACTGTAAAGTCATTTTATTGTTACCTTTTAAAGTGCTGAAAATGACAGGTGCTGTTAATTCATCATGTAGAGCATCTGTTGATGGCTTCAAATTGAAATGCTTGGATTTCGAGTTGTGCCCAGGCCCCCTTGCCTGCATGTTCAAACTTACTTGCATGCTGGAACCATAGGTCTAAGCCTGAAATGGGTATTTGCAAATAAATACGACCTCGAACCCTCAAGGTTAGGATTGTTACACTTCAAACAAGCAGATTTCCTCAACATAAGCAAAATAAGAACCTCAAAATGGTATAAAATCTATAGTGATCTGATTTCTCTACAGGGAGCTTAATTGCAGACATGTCTGTCAGTAAAACACTATTTTGTTGTTGTCGTGTGGCAATTACTTTGGCTCTTTTTTGTTTTTAATATTAAAAAGAAAGATTCTGTGCTGGTTGGGAAGGGAAATGCACGGCTTTTACTGTTTTTATTTTAAGTTTGCATGTGTCTTCTTAAATACTTAGGATAGTTTGAAATATCAGCAAATTGCCCAGTTCTTGTAAGTGTTTTTACATTGTTCTTGCAGAGCTCGAGCATTTCAAAAGAAGCTAGGACGGAAACTTGTTCAGTGTTTCCTGTTTTCTCTCAGTTTTTTTAACCACTTCCTTCACACTGATAAACATCAACTGGGTTTGGTGTGACAAGTTAAATATAATTCTGGTTATGGCTGAGCGAGGCAGCCCTAAAACAAAGCCTGACAGAAAAATAGTCCAGTATTAAAAACAGCAGTCTAGCCTTTCTGGAAATGGTTATGGTGACTTTTTTGATAAACACTTGTAGATTTTTTTCATTATTCCTCATTTATATATATATAATATATATATATATTCTTTTTTTTTACCTGAAATACTGACTGGCTAAATGTGGGAATATGTTCTCCTCATACATGTGCAGGCATCCAAGTGCCTAGGTCTGTTCCATATGTGAGGATGGGATCCTGAAGGGCCCGTAAAGGTGACCCCATGATGACATCTGGCTCACAACAGGAGTTCTGCACCAAAATAACAAGAGAACATGTTTGAGTCATCTGGTGATTTTCTATTTTAAGTTTCATGCAGATGAAATTTATTTAGGCCCCCTGTCTCACCGCAGTCGTGCTCCTTGTTGTCATTATATTTTAAAGTCTGCGCAAGTGGCTAAACTGGAGCCTTGAAGCTCCCGGCTGAACTGCTGTAGTAGCCATGGGGGTAGGTGCAGTGAAGATGCAAATCCCCCTTTGGAGACACTGCTGCTAGAGGAATAGGGTGGGAGTAAAAGCCTTGCAATTGTTTTTGCACACACCTGGTTCCTGGCTGCACAAGAGTAAGTCTGCTATGGCAGCAAATTAACAAAATATACATTGGTCAGAGAAATGTAATAAATATTTTTGCCTAGAATATGTGAGAATGAGATAAAATGTGATTGTTGGTACCCTGGCATGTGTGCTGTAATGAAATACAGCAGCAGTTTAGTGCATGATTGACACTACACTATGAACAGGAGTGTCTTCTATTTTACATGTGGTTGTATTGAAAACAGTAGGTTCTCATTTTGCTGTTAGCAGCTCTTCTCATCTCCAAGGACTTGTGGGTATGGAGTGAAAAATACAGTAAGTAATCAAAGAAAAAAAGCACTGTCTTCTAAGATGTGTGCTGGGTAATCAGTCATTACCCTTTTGTTTGTCAAAACAGGTGATACAGGTTGATATCTAATAATTCTACGTGGTGTTATACAAAATAAAATTGTTATTTCATTGGATATAGATCAGTTGGATACCACTGCTGAAAAGGGTTGGTTTTTTTGGTTGGTTGTTTGTTTTTCATACCTGTTTATTTATTTCTCAAAATAGAGGGAAATCTTAAGACAGTATCTGCTGTTACAAGTCCTTCCAAATTGCAGGATAGAAAAATGTATGTACATGTGTGTAAATAGCAAAGTGCCTCAGGATGCTACCTTTTCTAGGGAAAATACTTGCAGGATGATCAGTATCTACTCAGGGCAGCAGAAATGCCTCATGACCTGAAATTTAGATCAAGCTTAAAACACTTGTTTTCTCCTTCTGTTTAAACTTCTTAGATGCTGCTCACTTACAGCTGATATCCAAGTGTTTCATTTCCCTCCACACTATTTTTTCGGCAAATGTAATGCTGATACCTAAATTATGCAATTGTTAGAATGTCTGAATTTGCATGTTTTACACAATTACAAAAATAAGTTGTAATGTGTGGTGGGAGACAACTCCCCAGCCACTCCAGGAAAAAAAATATATATGTGTTAAGGTGATTCTGCATTGCAGTGCAGCAGCTTCCTGGCCTCGGGCTGCCCAGGCCTTGCAGCCCCGCGCCAGGTGTAAGCACATGGAGAGGCCCCTTGAATTTCCGGGCCCGCGGGGCTGCTGCGCTGGCCTCCCAGGGCCCGGCACCCAGGGCCTCACGGCTCCACGTCAGCAGTGGTGCCGGCTCCCAGCGCCACGTGCTCCGCATTAGGGCTCCAACAAGAATTTCCTTGGACTCATCCCATTTATCTCTCCGCAGCACTCTGTGAGGAACGGGCTCCAAGTGGCAGAAGTGGTAGTTGCTCTAGGGCCGAACGGGCGGAATTTACGGGAGTCAGTAACACTGCAGCCAGCCCAAACTGCAGCCAGCGTTTCCTTCCCACGCGGGCTGGGGAGAGCCGGCCCCGCCGCAGCCCAGCCCAGCGCTGCTGCCGGCACCCCGGGGCCCCTCTGCTTCTCCTCGCCCCTGCTGCGCAGGGCTGCCACGCGGGGAGAGGAACCACAGGGAGCTCTTCAGAGCGGGAGCCTGAACCTGAGGAACAGGCCGCTCCTCTAGGGCTCTGCTTTCTTTTTAGAGGCAGCACCACATTGTTCGCAGTGTTTAAGTTCTTCGCATCTAATGCAATCAGACTTGACAAATACTTTCTTCTAACTCACTTTTTAATAAAGACCCAAACTGTTCTTACAATGTGTAGAAACTAACATAAATGCTTCACAGCCTTTATTGCTTCTTTTCCATTTTCTGGAATGTCAGTTCTTCAGGAAGCAGGGAAGCTGTTAAAATGCTTTCTACAAGCAGGAATTAAGAAGAAACAAGAGGACTCTTAAAATCAACTAAAAGCCACAGTTAATTTTATTAAAGACTTCATGGATTAAAAAAAAGCACTGTTAGATATGTTTATTCATTACTGTATAAGAAGGCAGTTTTACATAAATGATTTTTTTCTTCAAGCCTGAAGGAAGAAAAATAATTTCATTAAAATACGTGATTTATTTTTTTTTAAGAATGTTGTGCTTCATAGAGTAATATGTCAGTAGTGAGAACAGTTTGTTCTTGTCCTTCGGAAAGGATGGTGCTTTGAATACAATTTTTCTTTGATAACCTCTGCCTGCCTGCCTGTGAGGGGAGGGATTAGGAACAACCAGCTCCTCCTTCAGCTTTGGTTAACACCTTGCCCTCAGAGGCGTTTTGCATCTCAAATTGTTAGGCAGCCTTCTTTCTACAAAGTCTGCGCTTATGTCTTTTGATCTCTTTTCTCCTCTAAAATCATATAAACTGTTAATCTGTTAAACGCTGATACACGTGTATTTTGTGTTTCTATGGAATTGCAAGTCCAGAAATAATAATGACCAACAGAGTGTGCTAGTAACTCTAACTTGCATCTCAATAGTGCTTCACAGTTTTGATCGTATGTACATGAGGGTGATCAACATTTTTTAAAACATGCCTTGTTTACTTACAGATATATGGAGTCTGGGAGTCATCCTTTTTATGTTGGTGTGTGGACAGCCGCCATTTCAAGAAGCAAATGACAGTGAAACTCTGACCATGATCATGGACTGCAAATACACAGTGCCACCTCATGTGTCCAAAGAATGTAAAGAGTAAGTAGAGTACGAGGGAATTGGGAAGCGTTTCGGGAGGTGGGTTCCCATCATGTGTGAGAGCTCTCCCCTCAGCTCTCCCTCTCCTGGTTCTTACCTTTCACAGCACTTTATCTACTGCTTTGCTTAGTTGTCGCTATTTCTTACCGCCAGCTTTCTTGGGTACTGCTACTACGCTCTCCTTACTGTCTCTCTGTTCTTACTAAAGTTTCACTCCATTATATTTTCTGCATTAGGTTTTCTGCATGTGCCTCTATGAAACTTTATTCTGGTTTTAAAGAATGTTTTCTTCTTTCATCTGTATCAGTTATCATTATTTTGGTAAAAGCCTGGAGAGGCAGTTCACCAGTGACTGGCTTTGGCCAGCACTCTCGCTGCAGGTTCAAGAGTTGTCACTGAAGTGTTTTTGTGGCAAGGGTTAGAGACTGATTCTTCTAGATTTCTGCTCAGAACCCAAGAATAAAGCAAAAAGTTTTGCTCATCAGTTACAAAACAAATTGCAACTCCAGATCAGCGTTATGGGCCTTCAAGAGAAAAATAATCTCCCTGCAAATGCCATATGCCACTTGGGAATTATGACTCACTTTGGAATGTTTTTTCCTGCAGTGTTCACCGCCGCTTTTTCATTTTTTTGATATGTTCCAATGTTTGTCATATGATGGAGACAGATTAATGAATGAGGCCTTTATTTAAAGGATGGTCCCTTCAAATATATATCAAAGTTGTGTTCCTTCAGCTATTCTACCATGTTCAGCCACATTCTTGAGTCAGTGAGAGAGAATCTGGTCATTTGTCAATATGAACCACCAGGTAGGTGTACAGAGGCTTGAAAATGCTTCTCTCTCGGATTCTGGTATTTGAAAAGCTGTTATTATTGCTCTCAACAGCTTGAATTGCAAGAAGAGGTTTAAAAGAAAGGTCTTATTCGTGAATTGTATCCAAATAAATCTTTTCAGATGCTACATACTCTGCTGCGACAGGAATTTCTATTTTTCCCATCTTTTCAGTTAATATGCTGGCTAGCGCTAATTTGTTTAAAGGTCAGAATAGGCTAATTTGCTCTCTCTGTGCTAGTGTGTGATCGGTCCCTGAAGTTTTCTTCATAGATTAGATACAGTTTGTTGCATTTCTGTCAAAATTTTATTAAATTTAAAGAAAAGCATGCTCAAGAATTTCACAAAGTCTTTTCTTTTGCAAAAGACAGAGACTGCAGGGCTTCAGTGTACCCATGGCATTCTTTTTAAAAATTATTTTAAAAGAGTCTGCACTGATTTCCTTTTTTCCCTTCCACAAATCTTCTCATACAGGAAAAAAAATCCAAACCTTCATGTTACCTTGCACCCAATACCAACCCATAAGTAAGTTTGTCATTTCATGCTCCCCGAGAGCCCTGCTCCCACCCCACAGGTACAGCGAGTCACTGCCCTTTGGGGGACTGCTGTTTCATACGGAAAAATTTTACTATTTCTGCCATTGCAGATCCTCGTTACAACAGCAGTAATGCGAAATGATATTTCTGTTACTGTGCAGACCAGCCTCCAGGCCATCTGTGACAGTTGCCATTATAATCGTATAGGGAAAGAAAAATACAAGCCCCCAGATTAAATGAAAATTATAGTGCTTGTGATATTTACGGTTTTAGTACATAAATTATGTGTTTGTTTCCATTCTGCAATGTCATTTGGGGTGTATTTGAGAATAGATAATTTTCTGCAATATTGTTTACATTACTTTTACTGCAGGGACTTGTAAAGATCTATATGAACCAACAGAAAGAAGAAAATTCTTCCTACTATTGCTCTTGCAGGGGTAGTTTTTAAACGTGCAAGTGCATTTTGTTTAAATTTATTTATTCATTTTATTTGCAGCCTAATTACCCGGATGTTGCAGCGAGACCCAAAGCGAAGGGCATCTCTGGAAGAGATAGAAAACCACGCGTGGCTCCAAGGAGTTGACCCGTCTCCTGCGACCAAGTACAACATCCCCCTGGTGTCGTACAAAAACCTGTCCGAGGAGGAGCACAACAGTATAATCCAGCGCATGGTGCTCGGCGATATAGCGGACCGAGACACCATCGTGGAGTAAGTTACCGCTTGTACCCCTGCACTTTGCTCTGTGCAGTATTTGTCGTGAACACACGTGGCCATTGCCATGTTTAAATACCAAATCCACCCCACTAACAAAATACTACAGTTTTGCTCGATGATGGGAAGAAATACTGAAATATTATGTATTAAGATGACTTAAGAACATACAACCTTGGGAAAATCCTCAAAGAAGTTTGGAAGCTGTGTATGTTTCATGTGGTAACGTGCTGTATTAAACAATTTTAACTGCTTTTAAATCTGTGCTTTTACTTAGGCTGTGTATTTCTCCAGATTATATGATGCCATGTAAATTTAGGGATGATAAATTATTAATTTTTCTCTTAGTACTTTTCCAATATACCTGAATCTTTGTAATTTAAATGTTATTCCTTTTATGTATATAATATAGACAAAATATAAATATTGTCACTGAGTGAATATGCTAGAAAGCTACAGAAAGCTTTACCAAGCTTTTTCTAAAAAATCCCAAATTTCTAAAATAGTCCCGAAATTGAAAGAGCACGTGAAGAAGAAGAAATTTTTCTGTGGAAACAATCCAGTATTTTATCACTTAAAAGAAATGAAAAGCAAAAATGTAGCTTTTTAAACTTTTATATTTGTAGCAATTGTACGTTCTTTTGTGTTAGAATTATTTGAATGATATGAAGTCACTTGCAAACTTAACTTTTTCATAAACTTAATGTGACAGTCCTAAAATAGTCTTTTCTTCTAGCTTTTTCATAAGCAAATACCAGCACTTCATGGCTTTATGTGGAGCTGGGAAAGCCTATTATTGTTGCATGACACTAATGAAAAAGGATTCTATCATTTTTCAGTACATTTTCAGAAAAAAAAAAAATTCAAACGATATCCTAAAGTTACCCTCACCTAACCATGGTGACTCACTAGACTCATTGGCTGTCATTAATAAGGCCAAGAAACGCTTGTCAAAACGTCAGAGACGCGCATGTCTGTCTCAGGTGCTTCTGCCGCTGTGTGAGCTGCGCGTCCAGTTTTAGAAAGCTGTACGTTTATGGCCTGTTTCCTGTTTCTGTGCTTTCGTAGGGCTTTGGAAACAAACAAATACAATCACATCACTGCTACTTACTTCTTGCTGGCTGAAAGGATCCTGAGAGAAAAACAAGAGAAGGAAATTCAGACCAGATCTGCAAGCCCTAGCAACATCAAAGCTCAGTTCAGGTGAGAATTTAACATGTTCTGCTTTGTTTTTAACCTGGCTTAATGAGATGATTATTGAATGGCTCAATGCTGCCTTTTTAACAGAGTTAAATGATTATTCATTATGGAAGTGTCTTGGCGGTGCTGTGGACGCTTAAGGAACCCTTCAGAAATTGGTTACCGGTAATACCCTAAGTTCCTACTGACTAAATTTATTCAGTCCCTACCTGAAGTAGCACATTTTCACACCTGGTAGGAAAGGAAATGTTCATTGCCCTTCAGTGAGTCATTAAAATTGCAGATGTGGCAAAAATTAGCTTCGTAATTCCCCAAATGTATCAATGGGGAATTAGTCATGCCTGAGAAATCAAGCCCTGACTTTTACGTTAGGGTCTAGTAGCTGGCTTTGATTTTAATAAGCTTGAACATTTGCTAAATCAAGCTTGCAGCAAGCATCTTAAGTTATGATTTTTTTTTCCTTTTAATATAGGTTAATACATCTCTAAGGAAGACTGTTCAAATAACGGCTTTGTTTCGTTTACTTTGAGCTGTCTTCTGGTATTTAAAAACATGTTGCAGAAGACTTTCCAGCTGAAGTCAGATGCTTAGTTTGATAAAACCATCATTAAAGACCCTGTAGGAAAGGCCCCAGGAAGGTGCGAAGCTTCAGAGCTTTGGGGAGCGGGGGCTTCTGGCAGCGGGGCAGCCACTGCTGATGCGTTTGGCCAGGCAAATAATAAATGAATAAAACCTGCAGGCTGGAGGGTTTCTACCTGCACCTCTGTTTTGGAGGAGAAATTTTGAAGAGTTTGTTTGTTTATTAGTTCTTTTTTTTTGTTTTGCTGAGTTAGTGTTAAGAGTATCGCCTGTTTTCTGAGTGGGGATCTGGTGGTGACCTCCAGCGTCTCAAAGAACTTCCCTTTAAAGCTGTGATTCCAGCACCCTTGGTTGCTGGTGGCTGGTATCTTAGTGACACGATGGCAGTATCAGGTGCCTGTGCTGCTGGTCACAGTTGAGTTTTGTTAGCTCTTCTCTAGAGCCTAGCAGAGAACAAGATGAAACTCTGCGTTCATCCCGATGAGATGATCAACCCAAAGATTTTTGGGTACCTTCCATGCAAGACCCTATGTGGAGTCACGTACCAGGAGTGTAGGTGGGACACAGTGTTGTGGTACCCCCAGGCACATGCCCTGGGTGGGCGGGCGGCCAGGCCTCCCTCGGGCCTGGAGGAAGCGATAGGAACTAAGGGCTTTGCTGGCACAGCTTGGGTTTTGCTGCCAGAGCCGCCTGTTGTTAAAACAGGTTGCTGTCACCTGGCGATGTGTTGACATCTTGAGCTCTGTCCCACTCCCAGGTCCGTTCCTAATGTAAGGCCTACCCATTATCTGCTGGAATAGCAGAGTGGAACAGCAGTCACCCCCAAAGGAGCGGAGCGGTTCCCGGCGGGGCCGGAGGAGGCAGCGCAGAGCTGCCGCTGGGGCAGCACCTCCCGCCGCCTGCTGCTAACTCATCCTGTGTGCATTTGGGAAAAAAAAGAAGGATTTAAAGTAAAAGATCTAGCGTGAGCAACCTGAATAGATACTGAAGACAAGACGTGAGCTGCTAGTTGACTGAAGACTCAGTGGTCTCAAGGGTCACTTTTTAATTTGAGGCTTTAGTACACAGTCACACACGTTAAATTTTCTCTTTCAGCTGAAATAGCTCTTTAAGTGTCACGGTCTTACGCAGTTTGCGTCCTGGCTTCACATGCCTGTGTTTCAGTCAGTCACATAGAACTGCGATCTCAACCCAGGTGCCTTCAATTAAAGGTGATTTTGCCAAACTGCGCTTGGTCTGAATGAGGCCTACTGAAAAGCAGAGAATGTTTCTTCTGACTCAGTGTTTCAGTCTCACTGTGTTAATTTTAACACTTTTTTTTTTTTGAATTGGAGAATGCGAGAAAAATAGTTTGCAATACTATTTATTTAGATTGTGTTTGAATCATTTGCATGCCTCATATCTTCTGTAAACATTGGCTCTAGGCCTCCTTCAGGCGCTTTTTGAAATGCAGAAAGCTACTTAAAGATTTTTATTGCTTAATTATTTTTCTCAGAGCGGTGAAAAGGATTTTTAAATTATTTTTTGATTTCAGCAGCTAACAGAACTTAAGCCATGTTTCTGTGTATCAAACACACCTTTCAAGTAACAGCATTTCTTTGAAAATGATTCTTTCTGCCCACTTACCAAGCATTGCTCTTTGCAGATGGCCTCTCCACAGGCCAGTCTGTGGTACAACTCATTTTCCTGGCGTGCGGGTCTTCCCTAGATCTTCCTACATGCTCACCGTGATCCAGCTTCTCCTTTATCCCTTATCCTTGTGCTTTGCAGGCAGTCGTGGCCAACGAAGATTGACGTACCCCAGGATCTGGAGGACGACCTGACAGCTTCTCCGCTCTCGCACGCAGCCGTTCCCCAGCCTCCAGCTCGCGCGGCCGACAACGTTCTCAACGGCCACAGGAACAAGGCCCTTGGGGACGCGGCCAAGAAGGAGGACATCCCGGAGCTGGCTGGCCCCGCGCTGGCCGTCGTTCCACCGGTGAGCTTAAAACCCACGACGAGCGGCCGAAAGTGCTTGTTCAGGGTGGAGGAAGATGAAGAGGAGGACGAGGAGGATAAGAAGCCTATTTCTCTCTCTACTCAAGTCGTTTTGCGCCGTAAGCCGTCGGTCACAAACCGCCTGACGTCGCGGAAGAGCGCGCCGGTCCTCAACCAGATCTTCGAGGAGGGGGAGTCGGATGATGAGTTTGACATGGACGAGAACCTGCCCCCGAAGCTGAGCCGCCTAAAGATGAACATCGCCTCGCCCAGCACCGTGCACAAGCGCTACCACCGGCGGAAAAGCCAGGGCCGCGGCTCGAGCTGCAGCAGCTCGGAGACGAGCGATGACGACTCCGAAAGCCGGAGGCGCCTGGATAAAGACAGCGGCTTCACGTACTCCTGGCACCGGCGGGACAGCAGCGAGGGGCCCCCGGGCAGCCAGGGGGATGGCGGCGGGCAGAGCAAGCCGAGCAACGGCAGCGGAGGGCTGGACAGGAGCGGCCCGAGCGAGGGCAGCAAGGGCGGCGGGAGCCCGTCCGGGAGCGCCGGCGGCGGCGCTGGCAGCACGGCCGGCTCCACGCGCCGCTGCGCGGGGCCCGGCGGCTCCGTGCAGCTCTCGGCCAAGAGCGCGGGCGACCTGGTCGAGAGCCTCAAGCTCATGAGCCTTTGCTTGGGTTCGCAGCTCCACGGCACCGCTAAGTACATTATCGATCCGCAGAGCAGCCTGGCGTTTTCCAGCGTGAAAGTGCAGGAGAAATCCATGTGGAAAATGTGCATCAGCTCCAGCGGGAGCGCGAGCCAGGCCCCGTCGCTGGGCAGCCTCAAGTTCTTTTCCGAGCGGATGTCAGACGCAGCCAACGAGTTGGAACGGATAAAGAGCAGGAACTTGAAAAATAACGTGCTACAACTACCTCTGTGTGAAAAGACGATCTCGGTGAACATCCAGCGGAGCCCCCAGGAGGGGCTGCTCTGCTCCTCCACGCAGCCCAGCTGCTGCCACGTCATTTGAGAGCTCCCCCACCGACAGCCCCGGTCTTCCCCCTCAGAGCTGTGACCCTCGCTCAACTCCCCTCTGTTGTCTTAATATTTTTCAGTGGGCTTTGAGCAGTTATTTATTACATTTTAATTTTGTGTTTGCTTGATGGTATGACAATGCATGGTCTTTGCATGCTGCTAGCCAATATGTTTTTCTTTCCCGACAGAGCAGACTATTTTATTGTGTAATTTTTACATTTATAATTTTACTATGGAAGATCTGGATTAAATTGAGTATATCTGGATCCTAATGTAAATGGAGCACTTACTTAGAAGTTCATGTTCTGCACTTAAACTAGAGTAAGAGAAGCTTTTGTTTGCTTGTGAAATGTTAATTCTTGTTCTGACCTTCTGTGCTATCTACACTACGTGCTGTGTGGCATATACTTCTATGTGTCTGAAAGAGAACCAAAGCAATAATGTTTTGATGCTGAAAACTCCTCAGGGAGCTTTCAGATGTTCCAAGGCTTGTACAAAGCAAAGATGCACTGAAAAATTAGTGATCTTGAAATAAGATTTTAAACCCACACCTATTTGTCTTAAGCTATGATGTGGATAAAGTTGTGGCTCAAAAATCAAACTGAAAAGATCTTGTTTTGCTAGAGGCAATTTTTTTTCTCTAAAAAAGCAAGTAGGTTTGTAAGGCAGCTTTCTCCCATAGAAATATGTTAATATTACAAGCAGACAATCTTCTTTTTTTAATATAACAAAGATAAATTAAGTCTACTTCTGAGTTTTTGCATTCTAACTAAGAATAAAGTATTTGTATAAATTACTTTGGTTATTAGTAATATCATGACACTTACCCTAGTGTGTCAGCTTTTCCCCCCCTGCCCCGTACTGCTCGTCACCCCCTGCTCCAAGTTTTCCAAAGGCAATAGGGGATGAAAAACCTTTAGCCAATTGGCTGCAAATAGACAGTGCTATTGTCATTAACATTTTGCCTCATGATTCCATTTGACTCTCTTAGAGACTTAAAAATGCTGCTGTTTCCCAGACGTACACCCTGTGTTTTCCCTCAGTAATCATGTTGTTTTCTCATGAAGCCAGTTGGAAACAGCACACACATATTTATTTTGCAGCAGGGAGCTTTTTTATTTGGTTCCCATTGCCACGGCAAGGTCTTGCTTTAGAGCATTTCTGTGCAGAAGGCTCCTTTTGGCCAGCTGACCCAACGTTTGGGGGATTCTGTTTTTTTGTGTTCGGGGAAGGGCAGCACTGCTTCGTGGTGCCCGGCTGTGCCCGGGCTCGGGGCTGCCCCCGGCCTGCCCTGCTGGCGCGGCACAGCCCCCTGCTATCCAGGCGAGGAAGCTCCGGGAACAGATGTGTGCGTGAAGCCGTAGGACACAGTGCTTGGAATTGCTGAGCAGGGATCTTGCAAAGGGCCAGGAATCAGATGGGGGGGTTGCAGACGGTGAGCGCGACGGGTAGTCGCAGAGAAGTTTATAAAGGGCATTGGCAATAAATGTATTTGTTGCAGCTTTTTTTTTTTCTCTCTTTATCCAAGTATTGTAAATACTCTTTCCTGATATTATGTACAGCCTTGGAATGGCACCTTTTAAACTAACCCCAGGTGTACTTTGTTTCCAATGTTTTTATATCCAAATGTATATATGGTGCTCACTTTAGAACGGCAGTGTTGACCATTTATGCTGCATAGTTGTATTATATTAGAGCCTTCCTCGGTGTGTGCGGCTGGTTGAGCCTTCCTCCCTCCCTCCTCCCCTCCCTGCGGGCGCGCAGCCGTGGGTGTGAGCGCTGCCCCCTCCCTCACCCCGTGGCGGCAGGTGGATGACTGTGCACGTGGTGTGTGTCGTGGCCTGGTGTCGTGGCCAAGGAAGGGCGAGAATAACCACTACAGTAAGGTAATATTGGACCAAACTATTAGAGCAAGTAAAGAGTTTCTTGTACCCCTTAACGTGTCTTTAAAAGTTGCATATAGTTACCGTAGTGTATAAATTAAATATTGTGGAAGAACAATTAGTCTTGTATTTTTCTGTATGTGTGTATATATATATACATATACATATATATATATATAAAAAATAATGTACCTCTAGCAACTTCCTCTGTATTTAAGATGTGACAATCTTGGCACAGAATTTTAAAAGTAGCAGTATAAATAAGCAGAATTGCTAAAGAGAACATAACTGTAAAACTTCTCACCACGAAGGAATCCCTGTGTGCGTGTTAAGAGGGTACAGGAATATCCGCTGGTCTTGCTGCTCCGGGCAGCACCGTTTGCCTTTCTCACTGTATATCCAGTCCCGGTGCGCGACAGAAATGGAAAACGTGGTTAATAAAAGTGATACTGGACGGACGTGACACGGGCGCCCCGCGTGTCAGTGCCCCGCGCGCGGCCCCCGCAGCAGCGGCGGCGGCGGCGGCTTGAAAGGGGGGCGGGCGAGGAGAAGGGCCAGCTCGGCGGGTTCCACGCGCTCACCGTGGCGCTGGACGCACCCGATCTGGGGGCTTTCCGGGGGCTTTCCGGGAACGCGGCGCCGCTCCGGGCCGGGAGGACAGTGGAGCGGCTCATTTTCCGTGTCGCAGGTGGCACCTGCTGGAACAGGTGGCGGCAGGGGCTTTGCTCGCGCCCTTCCCGCTGCACCACGGCTGGCACAGGCCGGTTTGCCCAGCTCAGTTAGGTGCTACGGAGACGGGCGCGACCTGCTCGGCAAGGCCTTGAGCTGCCCGGAGCCTCGGGGCACAGGGAACGCCAGTACCTCACCAAAGGACCCTTTGGAGCAGCCAGTTTAAGCTTCCGAGAGTGTAATCCACATTTATTCTCTTAAACTGTTGCCTCAAAGAAACAGGCAGCACAATTGAAACTTCAACAAACACAAGACTACTCGAGAGCAAAGTGAGCAAGGAACCATTTTGTCTCACTCACTCACTCACTCAGTTCTGCTGTGGGGGCCTGGGACAGAAATCCGCACCAAGCAAAAGAGGCCAATACCTGCCTTTACAGCCCCAAAGCAGCGCCAGCCAGGGCCGCACGCCCCCTCGCTCTACCAAAGCCCACGGGCTCAGCAGGAGGAAATGAGGTGTTCCGAGGCTGCAGACAAACTGTGTGGAATTTGGTCTTACTATTCACAGAAAGCGATGAAACATTCAGAAAGTTGTGTGAAATCAAAAAAACCCCACCACACTAAGACAGTCACTACATAGATGAGGAACTGGTAGAGAGCATCAGGTTTAATTACTGTTTTGCTAGTGTCAGGTCATAGACCCAGAAGAGCACATAGTTTAAGACAGCCAGGAAAGTGGTATCAAAAGCTAATGTAAATTTAATAATATGCAAATAACTGCGACCTTTTTTTTTCTTATAAATTAACAATCAGAAATCTGCTTCCTACTGAATGCTTTTTTACCCAGCTTTTGAAAATAATTTAAATGGCTTGGTTTAGATAACCCGCACACTAGAGCATATAACTGTATAGCATTAGTGTTCAACATATTCCTCAGGGAACAATCAGACATTGCACTGCATAATATATAAAACAATTATATAGATCTGCTAGGTGTAAACAGCGGCTGATAAGTGATCTTTGAAAAAAAAGAGCAGACTGATTACTTGTAATATATGAGAAGGAAGTACTTGTAAAATGAGAAGGAAAGGGGCAATAGGGCTGGTACATCATAAATCAAGTACTCGTGTACCTGGATTCAGCTCACAAGCACAGTTAGCGTTGGGATGCCTCAGGTAAGACTTGTTTCCACGCGCTGGGTTGGGCTCTGGCCTCAGCCCTCACGCTGTAGTTGGTGCCCTTTGGCAGAGGGTGGTGAAAAGGGGGCGAGCCAGAGCGGGAGAAGTCACCATCACCACCATCATCATCCCCACCTTCACCACCACCCGCGTCCCGCGTGGTGGTGCAGCAGCCACCGCGGGAGCGGGTGCCGGCCCTGAGGGGGTCGCCCCGCCTCACCGTCACCGTGGCTGTCGCCCCGCTCTGCCGCCCGCCTCCTGCGCCCCTCACTCCTTCGGCGACTCGGCGGCCAGTTTCATTTGCTGGGAGGGAAGGAAGAAAAGAGAAGGCAACGCTGAGTGCTAGGGACGAGCTGAACCAGGTCTGATAGCAGGACAGCTTTGGTGCCATCGGGATAATAAAACTGCACACACATACACGCACACACACACAGAGTCAAGCTTTGGTAGTAAAGACAAAAGCACAAGCTTATTGTCCAAATGACGTGCACAAATAACACAGCTCTGGCACAGGTTCCACTTTCCCTCTAAAAGACGCAGCCGCTGCTGCTGCCATGTGTATGTCACTCAGTTCTCACGATGCGGAGCGTGGCTGCGCTCCCCACGCTGGCACTGCTGGCCGTGCGGATGCCTCCCTCCGCACGCCTCCCTCGCCGCCTCTCCCAGCTCCATCCGTGCTCGGGGGCGGCACCGCGGCAGCACGAGCGGCACCGGGGCAGCGCGGTCCCGCACGTGGGACCGGCCCCCGCAGCAGCTCCCGCTGCGGCCCGGGACCCCGCGGAGAGCTCGGGAAGAGCCGGGGGCCGCGCGGGAGCCCTCACGTGCACCTGAGGAGAGACTTGGGGTCGCAGCTCAGGAAACCTGTCCTGGAATCACACGTTTGTCGGTAGGGGACCTTTCTTCAAGGCAACTTCAGATCAATATTCAGACTCAAAATGCTGACTGTGGTGAAGGGCCATGGTAACAAAACCTCAGATTAAAAAAAAAAATCCTTTTGTAAGCAATGGATTTTTCCTTCTGAAGGCTCTTAGCTCTGAACGCATGAACGGGATTTGCTGGGTCAGTGGGAGAATCTACCTTCTGGTCAAGTGGTGGGTTACATTCTTGAGGTACCTTCTTTAGAGATACAAAATCTCAGTTTACTGAGAAGGCCTGAAGACACAGAATCTAGAACTTAAAAAAATATGTAAAGGAGTCTTTCAGTTTTAAGTACTTATGTTTTTAAGGCACCTTCAGAGCTCAGTGACCAGCCATTTAGTTTCCAAGCCTTTTGCCCACTGGGGACAGGCTCCTGAGTGAACCCTCTTTATTCTTCTGCCTGATTTTATACACAGGTCTAATATAGCCATTTACTACTGCCTAGTAGAAAGACAGATGCCCCAAAACAGTAGCAAAGAAATAGAAAACCACAACAAATTCTTAACCCAAAACATGAAGATTTCCATGCCTTCAAAACAAAACCTTCATGTTTTCCTTTGCTGCTAGTCCATGCCTGAATGCATTAAAAATAATAATAAAAAATATTCCACATTACACCTACAGTAACTGTTCTTTACAATTTTTATCTGCATTCTCATCCCGCAGCTATAAGGGAAGTAAAATCAGTTGGTGATACAAATATTTATAAGCTTCTCCATAGCAACACTGGAGGGAAAGAAAAAGCCTTGGCTAAATGCAGGAATACAGATTCCTCTGCTGCATCCTGATTCATTTATTTAAATAAATTTCTGAATAAAACTACAGTAACTTAATTATAAGGGACTTCTACCCTAGTGCAAAAACGCTGGGAAGATACAGAACACAGCAACTTAGCTCAGTCGTGACTCCTGACATTCAAACATAACTCATTTACCTTAGTGAATTATTTGAGAATGATTTTCTTAAATTCCTGGCG